CCGCAATTACAGCAGTTTGTCACTGTGAATATTACGAATGAAGTTATTCAGGGCTGCTGTTTGGCCATACATCCAACAACGTCTCCTCGAACCGCGCTCCATTCTCCGTCAACCATCGGGCGAGAAAATCTCTGAGATGCTGAGAAAATGCAGCTGCTCTACTTCGCGTTCCCACTGACACGTAATGGTGCGGGGAAGCGACCTACTGCATGACAGCCCAAGGCATCTGCACGCAGCGTCAATTTCTCTAGTGCTAGTTGTGACCCTTTTGGCAATTCATCCCGTAGTACAAGGCTCACGGATCGTGTACCCAGTCTCACGTATAGGTCCAGGTCGATGGGCTACACTGATGCTTCTGCTCTTCCTGGGCTGTTGAGAAGAGCAATGGTGCCGTGGGGATGCGTGAGCAGATGGCAGAATTGCATCAAATGTACGTTCTTCTCACTTTGCCCGCTGTAACTAGGCGAAAGTGTCGATACGTTTCCTTCCGCGTTCGCCGCCTTTCCAAGCTGGTACTTCCGCAGAGAGCGGCACCGCTAGAACCCAATACATTAGCAAGCGTAGAAAGCGCAAGTTTGTCAATTTAGCAGGCCCCTCCATCATCCAGTTTGTGGGTGTCGTCGCAAAACGGAGCTATCCTCGCTTTTCAACTGCCTACTCCAACAGAGGGTAGGAAGTGCTTCTGTTCAACATGTAGGCCGTTGCCATTTACTCTAGTCACACCGCTTGAGGTCTAATTCAGAGATCGATGACGAAAAGCGTACACCGCATTGATGCAGCCAGTGTGGCCGCAATATGCAGCTCCTCCAACAGCGCAAGTCAGTCAGCAGGTGTAAACGTGATGCAATCAAGTGGCGAGCAGCCAAACTATCGACTACTGCTTGCGCCGTTCCCTGGTGCACGGTAAACTGTCAAGAGCATTACGAAGAATAAAGTTACTTAGATAGGGGCTGTTGGCCACATCACCACACCCTACAGTGCCTCTTGGGAGAAAAAAAGTACATATTGTCCTTAAATGCAGCGCCTTCCTGCATAACGGCTTTTTGCCGTACCAAATAGCTCTCAAAAAACTACAGATCCTGATAGTCACATTCAGCGCGTGCGTTGCATCACCAACACACGAAACAGCAAAATGCGTGCGAAGACGAGAGTGCCTGAATCCAGTTTCCGAGATGGAAGTCTGTGCCGGATTTTCGAGAGCCGCTTGCAGAGCACGAAAAGGTCCGTCCTAGTCCAGCGATGGGCGTATTAACGCTTACCCAACAAGGCTGTGAAAAATGCAGCAAACTACGAAAGCGCGAAGGTACCTTTACGTGACCATAATTGCCTTCATCCTTTTACCAGTCCCGCGCGCTGGCTGGGGGGTAGATGGAGCCGATAACGGGTGATGAACGTCTGGACAACACGGCAGAGCTCGGCAGGCTGATCCTCCTGCAGAAATGCGAGGTACACGACAGCATGCCACAAATCCGAAACTGCGAGCACAGCCTTGCCAGCGCTCCTCTTGTGAAGCAAAAGAGACGCCTGTTGCTGTGCCAGTTTTGCTGCTGCACAGCTATAGCAGCAACAGCTACACGAGACAAAATACAGGCGTTCCAACTGCCCTCACCTCAATGACATGGCCTGAACCACTAACAATCTGCACTTGAAACTTCCCCTGCGCGGAACATCCAGCGCACACTACAGCTCTTTTGCCCCTATTTCCCTCCGCAACTCTGGCAGCGAGACGAGCATCGTGCTTGTAGGGAATGCACTCCTGAGGGAGTACTGGGTCACCTGCATATGTGCTATCATCAGCTCCTTGTCCAAGCGGTCGCTGCTAGAACATATCAAAATTTTCACGCAACGGCTTGCCAGAAATGCCTGTGACATCCCCCGAAACCATCCTGAAAATTCACACAGAAAAATGCATGGTATGTTTATTGACTGAATATTCCAGCCTGTCCACCAGTTATCCGCAAATGCGACGTGTAAAGGAGACGCACGCACCTTCCCAATACGGCTCCGTGGCCATCACGTCAACGCGCCATGTCCTACAGAGAACAGTTACCGCATTTTCATAGTAGTTCTGCTCCCATCTCAATCAGTTACCACATATCCTAGCGATTCAGCAACATTGGGTGGAAAGTGGTAAGTAGGTTTATCATTCGCTGGCTCACCATACTTCTTCGTCAGGCGGTCCCTTCTCTGCGCCCTTGTGACTCGCTGGAAGTGCCCCCCGAGTGGTCTTCACAAGCTGGGAAGGAATTGATATTGCAGCGCTGCTCTTGTTGCACAGTAGTCCAGCAAAAATGCTCCAATTCACAGCCTCTTTACAGCTCGTGAAAAGGCTGGGGAACCGACTGACGAAGGCGGCCATCTGCGGCAAGGCTGCCAGAGCGGTCCCTGTTAAAACATCATACGCCCGAATACCAAATATTTGCTACCTGAATCGAAGCCGTCCATTGAACTAACTTTGAAGTCGAGCATTAGCACAAAAGGCAGACACAGCGCTTCACACGCGCGTCCATTAGTTTGTCGGTGAGGCGCCAAGCACAACAACAGGCTGCTCAGCAGCTGAGATGATGCGTGTTCTTCAGGGTAACGGCATACCTTCCACCACATCCAACACCATTAAGCCATGAAGCTGCGGAACGCGCCCCGAAGCCGCCATCCGTGTGGCAATAGCTCCACCCATGCTGCATTGGCCAAGATTCACAAGCAAGACCGGCAGAAAATACATCAACGCTCCTCTGAGGTAGTCAACGAGCCCCCAAAAGGGCAGGATCATAGGGTGCGGCACGAACCTGTGGCCCACTAAAATTACAGATGGGAGCGAATCTGGATCTCGGTGCGCATTGGCCTCTCCTCCTACAGCTCCATCCGTCTTCGTGCTTTCTGGAGCTGGTTCTCCCTGTCGGATACCGCTTGGCGATAGTTCATCTTTCACCAGGCGGTTGAAAAGATACTGCACAATTGCAATACCGTCCTCTGTTAAGACTTCGGCTGACAAAGTCTTACTGTCGGCACACATGGTCGCACCGTGCCCTCTTGCATCATAAGCAAATACGCGCAGCGGCAGTGAGCCCTCCCGTAGTAGACGCTGGATAGAAACAGCCGCATTATAATAAAATAACACCATTATTTCACTATGGTAGGGATTCTTCCTAGACTATAAACCCTAAAATAAGACGAAATGCGCATCCTGCCACATGTACGAAAGGTTTAGGCCACGGGANTGGCCGGCTCCATGAAGCAGGAAAAGAAGCGGCCCAGAGGAACCACTAGAGTACACACGGAAGGTCTACATACAACCATACGGCGCAACGCATCCCATAGCAAGCAATTCCTCCAGCGAATGTAGTGAGGGTACAAGAGACTTGGATCAGTACTGACGCACGCTCTGGCTCGAAGCAGTGCGCTTCTCACATCTTCCAGTTTCTCGAGGATGAACTTGCTCGCCTAAGAGCCTTCCACCCCTAAGCCACTCAGCTAAACACTGCACATGTGATAATCGGCAAGCATTTGAGGAGCAGGCTTACGTCGCTAGTATCTGAAGGTCTGACGTCCTCGCATTTCTCGAAGAATTCGTCCCATGTGGGCAGCGGGCCGCACGACCTGTGAAGGAAACAACAGAAAACAAGTGAGCATGTAACTCACCCAAGCAGCGGAAACGTTGTAATCATCTCTCCAGGCAATGATGATGAGAACTCACGAATTGCAGCTTGAGCGCCTGCTACTACTACCACTGTGCGGAACCAGGAGGTCATGATTTCGTCCCGTGCGGTGTCGAGCAAATAAAGCTGGGCGAGGCTGCCGCGAATCTTCCCTGTGGCCGTCTGTTGTCTCCCTGTCTGAATCCAGGCTGGCGCGGCTTCCGATAGCTTCCTCACTGAACCCTGCATCTGCCTGTTGGCGTTCCTCCTTCACTGTTCGCATGGAACAGCCAGCTGATTTCCGGCGAGAATGATGCGGGCTTCCTGATGGACTGCCGACCCTGTCTGGGAGATTGCTGCTGCGTCCGCGAGTAATGGGGGGCAGTTCCTTGATATCTGGAGGCATTCGGGCAGGCTGCCTCGAGGAAATGGAAAACAACTCCGACGCGTCCATTGCCCGAACGTGGACTGCGCGCGGTTAGTGAACAAGATGCTCTTTCGACGCAAATTCGGGCCGCTGAAAAGGTCCACCTACGGTAAATGGATCTACACCCGAGCTGCAATGCAGTTAAAAAGACCTCCTGCAGCACGGTTGAGTCCGAAAAGCCTCATGTGCGTCGCTGTTGGGCAAGTTGGACCTTCAACCTGAGCGCGAATTGAATCTTTCACGATCCTCCCAAGCAGAATATTCCGTGAAGAGGGATCAAGGAGGCAATAAGCAGAATGGCGCCTTAAGTCCGACGTGGGTGTGCACCGAATCCCAAGTATAACTTTTCGCTTAGAGCGTGTCCTTCGTAAGGGCACCCGCTCTGTACTCGAAAATGCCCTGTGAGTCGGCTCCTCTACCAATTCTTTCTGGAAAAAAAACAGGACAGTAGGGAAGCCACGAAGTGCGTGACATGCAGTTACAGGAAACGGACGGATGAATTGACAACACCAGATATCAGCTCGTTGGCGAGTGAGTCCAGAAGAACTCAAAGAACTTCAGTGAAAGTTTCACTAGAAATTAATGCAGAAGCAAAAGTGTGAATTACACCCAGTCATATAAGGCGCTGTACAGCAGCGGCACATGCAAGCGCCGGCCGCCAAAATCGGAACTGTAGGGGGCGCCCATCACGTTACAATTGACATCTTGTGTATTCAAGCGAATATAATGCTGTTTTGCATTTACTTATGAATGCCACTCCTATGAACAACAGAAGCTGGAGGCGCCGTACCCTTATATTGCTAAACTTACGCGCCGCATCCTCAGGCTATACAACATGCCCATGCCGTGTTGTGTGGTGATATACCCTGCTTTATTTAAACAATTGGACCATTAACTGCGTTATACATGAAGGGAGGACAGCACGGAAAGCTGCAAATTACGTGCCAGCAGGGCGGGAAAGTGAGACTTTTCCGAAATGTGGGAAATATGTCACGCGTGAGCCAGAGCGGAAGTAGCTTCTCGTTCCGTTTCCGCAGGTTCAAATTTCCCTTTACAGTTCTTGCATCTGCGCTACAGCCTATATTGGGTGCCTCCAGCGAGCCCACTGCAGGGCATGAGCGCTCGGCGCACGGTCTTTCCCAACGAAGTGGAAGTTAACACTAGGAGGGGAGCTGCTGCACATTGTAGTCATTATGCTTGTCTTTCATCCAGCTGGCGTGTCCAGCTTCCCCATTTGCCCACCATTAACTGTGTGGAGAGATGGAGCATGTCGCCCGCTTTCACCCGACGTAGCGTCCCGCAACAGCTCCCCATCAAGCGGTNGGCGGTACCTAGTCTTATGGCTTAACGAAATATGAGCACATATTGTACCCTGCAGCGTCTACGCTGTTTTCACCTGACAGGGTATTCGCTCCCGTTGCAGACTGGCAGCCCTTCGATTTTAGTATAGCGTCCCTAGCTCTTTAGGGGTTCTCGGTGAAACTGCCTGTCCAGGGACAGATGTGGCGTGATAGCGTGACGAGACACATGTTGTGTATTGGAGGTCGTACCACCTATTGGGTAGAGCGGGGAGTGTGAAAGCTTCTATGTCCTCTGGAAAAGACAGTAGATAAACTGATCTGGCTGGCCACCGAACTGTGGGTGTATCAGAGAGCAAAACGCAGCACGCATGCAAATTAGATGCTGCTGTAAACTGATCCCGAAGCAGGTTGGTGTGGCGGGCTACCTACTCGCCCTGGTGCAAAGCCAGACACCTTCCTCAGCAAAAAGGATTCTGCAGCAATTTCGCTGCAAGCGTAGAAATGTGATTTCTTCATTTATGCGTCAGTCGCCATTGTCAGCGCCACTCCGGCAAGTATCCAACGACGCTCCGAGTCGTCGGCGCTCATTCTAATGCAATGTCACCACAAGGTGGGCAACAGCCCCCACAGCAAAAGCAGACAATGGTTCAATGGTTCCCTGTGCAGCAGATGCTCAGTCGTGGCTGACGGGTTTGCTGTGTCGCTCAAAGTGAGATGCTTTGCTACGAGACAGGCTAAGCTGCTCACCTCAGATTTGCCGTGGTTACGTATGTGGGGCCTCTTGCAGATGTGAGGTAAACGGGGCAGCTGTACATTGCAGTGTTGTCAACTTCGGCAGTCGGTATGGCTTCCACTAGGAAGACCGGCATCGGGTATTGGAGGACTTTTGGCTGCGCATTTGTCAGATTGCCTTCAACGTCTCCCTTGCCCTCTTCCCAAGCTGCACCTTCTAGGAAGAGCCCATGAATGAGCACGCCCGTTTCAGGAGTAGACAGAGGCTGCTGCTGGGTTGCGCTTCCTTGCACACCTGTTGCTGCAGCTCCATATCGTATGTTTGTCACTGTCCACCGCAAGCACATGCGGTCTAGAGCGAGCGACTCCGCTCTGGCACGCACCTGGGAGCGCAGGCGCAACTCACGTGTGCCCAACAAGAGGCATGCAGCAGCTGTGTGTTTCTCAATTTGCATAAGTGATTGGGCTACTTTGCACGTCGGTCGACTGCGCCTCACTGGGAAGACCAACCTGCATAACAGCCGTCAAGAAGGACATGGGGTTGAAGAGCCCGGAAATCCACAATGGACAGGGAAGTGTGAAGTCTGTGCTCCACTCCTCCAACTGCTTCACACGATGCAGTAGGTCGTTTACCCTGAATTCGTAAACGCAATTGCATGGCGAGGTTTTTGACGCAGCATCGTCCTCAACGGAACAGCACGCACAGGCAGTTTATGTGAACCATATTTACAATATGAAAAGTGTAGAAGTTTTCCCGTTTAACTAGACTCACCAAGGTCCCAGCTGTTTGCGCGATTCGTACGCGTACGGCTTCCAAGCTTCAGGGACCCTACCCATGTTGAGGGAGGCTTCAAGTTGTTCCATAGCGTCCGTCACGTTTAATGCACCCTGTCCACAAGCAACAGACACTCTTCCTGCTCATTGGATCTGCGCATTGTCCCTGTAAAGCCGATTTTACACTCAGGGAAACCCTTTTTTTGTTGCTGCTAAAGGTCCTATGCAATGAGAAACAGCGTCGTGCGACATTTGCACTGCCACCAAAGCAGGGAACATGCCGTAGTGTGGGTGCATGCAAGACCTCGAGGCCCTTCTTGAGTTGCTCCAGAGTTCGCCTTGCTTCGGCTAGGAGAACGTTCATTCGTTCCACTTCCTGATTCGTCACACCACCCACCACTAAAATCAGGTGAAAAACGGGATAATACGTGGGAGCGCTGTTCCGCGAGCTCCCTGAAGTAGCTGCCTAAAGTAGGTGGTAGAAAAGTGCTACGATGCTCCCATGTTCTCGCTTCACGATGCTCCCGTGTTCTCGCCTTCTGGAGGACCGGCAGCTTACTTGTAGACAGACAACGGTTGCAGGGTGGAACTCCTTAACCTTTGCACGAATGGCAGCTACATCAAATGGAACGGGCACTTTCCCCAACAAAGTATCTACCATGGTCAGCACTGTGTCCTCCTTTCGCCCTGCGGAACTCCCACCTCCAGCAACGCCTGAGACCTCCTGAGAACGAAAGCAGTGTGCTGTCGTTAGCTTTCAAAACTAGGCTGGAGTGTGACGATATCAATCTCCTAATTTACTCCGGCATACGCACACATCTCTAGTAACTACGGGCAGATCCCCTTGGCTGCCAAGATTTTCTCAAGCCCTACTTGTAGAGTAGTAAACAGTTCGTCGCTTTGGGAGCTTAGGCAACCCAATTCCGCATTTGGATGCAGCCCAAAAACCTTCACATCAGCGACAGGTACTCACAGTCATTAAAAGGGTTGCGCTCCTACTAAAGAAGATTGCATATCATCTTCCCTGAGATTAGTTGGTGTGTGGCAGTGCAAAAAACCACAGGGGAAGTTTCCGTTTCTGCATAGGTTCCGTAGCATTCGTAGATGCTACATCACACCTGAGGATTCTCCGGCGGCGTCTTCTCCTCGACAAACTTCTGGTATGCAGCGAATTCAGTCTTGGCTGGATCGGGCGTTCGGAAAGAAGGCCCGAGCTGATAGCTTTGGAGCACCTCGGGCAGGATCAAATTCGCCAGGTAGGTGTTGTTCAAGCGCCGGTCAAACCCATCTGTAATGTGACCTCCGTACATAATCTCTCCCAAGATGTATCGAATATCTTCAAAGGGAATTGTAGCGTACCTAAGCGGCCACCGTCATGCAACAGGAATAGATGGTGTCCCACATGCTCGGGGCAGTTAAAATTCTTTCAGTCATTAATTGCGGATGATAAGCGTTGTGATGCGTAAACTCGCACTTATCCAAGTAATTCTTTATAACGTTGCCGCATATGGTCAAGTCGCCTTCGTTAAATGAGTATGATCGACTCCAACCCAGGAAACCAAACTTTTTGCGGCCAATGATGAGTGCGTGGAAGTAACACAAGGAAAACAGAAGGGCCTTAAATTCTCGGGGACGCGAGCAGGAGTCCACCACCTCCTGCAGCATCAGTCACATTTGTGAGTCACATTTACATGAGAGTGCGTGCTTGGCTGCAACAAACCCTCGAGGAGGAACCTAATTGTCCTCGGGTTACAACCTGCGGGTGCTTTCCAGAACTCCTTCAAGGGTAAGCCAGTTCCTTTTCTCTCAAACTGGGTTCCTAGCAGCACTTTGTTACTTCAAGCAAGGGCAAATGCCTATGTACTGACCTGCGAGAAGCAGGAGAGGGCCCTCCGCAGATTGGCTTTAAGGTCTTGGGGAGCTTCATCTGCTATCTTGATGCTCTTTTGAAGCAAGGCCTCGGGGATTATTTGCATGTCTCGGAGAGGTGGGGGCTCAGAAGTTACAACGCACCGAAAATCGCGATGAGCAGTCACGCTAACCTCTTCTAGCGTCCTCTGAAGGCGCTGCAGTATTGCAGACCAGATAGTAATTCGGTCTAATCATGAACGACAGTGACTACTGCGTGTAGCCAAAACAGAGTGGCGGCAGCTTGAAGAGGAAGAAGAACTATTCGCAGCTGCCTGCATGTAACTCGCTTTTCAGGCAGCATCTAGAATGAGGAGCAACGCGTTTAGGCTTGTGTTTGAAGTCAAACACTTGCTTACCTTGAGCCACTCCTGCATAAGGTGTACGTTTTGCAGGACAACCCAGCCACCCAGCTGTGCTGCTTCCTGAACAGCAGCGATTGCGCGTTCTTCTTGGCCCTGACCCATGGAGATATTAACGAATTTACCATTGTCCTGATAAACAGAAACCCGACATCGCCCCCAAGCAACAATTTTATGCCTGTCCAACCTTGCTGTAAGGATATTTTCTCTTCAGAGGTTCACTGACGCCTCGGAAAGACCCGACTGTGGAGAACACAGTGGTTAAGCGCAAGCACTTAAACACGCATAGTGCCTGGTGGAGCACATCCACATGCTGCAGGGTAGTGCGGTGCCCAGGATATCCTCTTATAGCGACGCTACAAACAAACAACTGTAGGAAGCTGACAGCTGTGCATCCTTTGGATCTTGCGGTTATTTCTAGCACGGGTGTGGGGTCAACACCCGGGAACAGGACAATGAACAACGGAGTGAATCTATCGGCTTCTTTTTCGATTTCTTGCAAGTCAATGGCGGGAGGCTCTACAAAAAAGTGCCCCAGCTGCCCAGCCACAAATTGCTGAAGTGCCGAAATCATTCGATCTGGCCTAAGGTATCGTAGAAGAAGGAGCTTTTCGAATTCGCTAATTCCTTTGAACATCCGTGGTAGATCGGCTCCTTCTGGAGTATCCTCAGCCATCCATCTGTGCAGCGCAAACTAGAAGCATTCCGTTACTGACTGGTGGTGTGTGGCTATGGTCTGGTGAAGCTCACAATCAACAATTAGTACGAAGGAGAGCGCCGTCATCAGGAACCTAATGCAGAGCAGCTACCACGCGTTACAGATGGCGGGGCTACTGCATGCAGATCTCTAAAAGCGGCAAATTGACTTTGAGCATCGCCTTGGCAGCAAGCCCGGAGTTCGAGACGCCATGTGATACTCACCTTGCCCATCCGAGAGAGTCTTGATCGAAGTTTTGTAACAAGGATATTTGATTGTTTTTGAATGACTTCAGCTGTTCTAATGACCGACAGCAGGCCCATTTTGCCTCGGAGAGCCATCCACGAGCAGCCTCAGGCATGGGGGGCGCAGTTGGGTCTGGGCGAACCTGAGAAAGTAGACGAACCTCCTCCTCTGTGACGGTGTTTTGCTCCTCCTGAAAGGGAATTAAACGCAGTTTGGACAGTGCAATGTTCAGGTGATCATTGTCATGCGGTGGTAAGGCATATTACAGACCATCATTCAGGGAGAGTAACAGAGGAAATATCCCTCGTGTCCAAGAAAATTGTCGAGCAAACTTAGCTGGGGAGCTTCTGTGACTATGGTAGCAACTTGCCATGATGCGCAGGGTCAGAAAAACAGCAACCGTCAGCTTATGCCTGTCAAACAAGCCCCTGTTGCACGATACAAAGGTAAACTTCGTTATGACGTCCTTGAGCAGTGCAACGCGAGACGCGTCAGGGATAACATCCTTCTCGTCTTCCTCCTCTGGGCATTCATTTTTTACAGATTCGTCAGCAGTGTTTCGAACGGAAGGTTCCGGTTGTTGATCTGTAGACCCTAGCTCGCCCTTTGGCCCATCGTTTCCGCCACCTTGTGAATCGCCGATGGCTGGTGCGTTTGACTCCTCACCGGACTTCCCATCTTCACCTTCTGCTTCACCAGCAGTAGTCTGCAAAATAGACTCCAACTAGAAGATGGTCAGACTAGAGTCCCCGGTAATTAGAAGAAGTACCATCTTCCGTCCAGAGTGGTGATACGTGGGACTGTTATCTCTGCACTCAGCTGCACATGAAATCAATGGCCCACTTCGTTATTGTTCTCCTCTGTTGAATCCTTTGTGACTGCAGGTTCACCGGCTTCTTCTGCCGCAGAGTTGTTAGCGCTGAGTTTATCATCGTGTAGCCCTTCCTCTGGGGTTGCAACTCCGTCCTGTGTGGCGGGGTATGCGTCCTCTTCTTCACCTGTTTGGGGTTTCTGAGTGCAACGGAACTTCGCAAAGGCTCTGTACGACGCTAGTGACCCTAGTGAGCTTCCGGCTTGTCTTGCGTCACTCTAGCAGTGCATTTTTCTTGGCGTGTACTTATTTGCAAAACAACGCTCCGCAAGATTGCCTACTCACCTCTGAAATGGAGTCGATTGCCCGGTTTATCACTGCCACGAACGACTCCATGGAAAACAAGTAAAAACTGTGGATTTTGAAAAGCTGAGCTAACATAAAAAATAGCCTCGCTCCTCGGCGCGCTACAGGCCTATACATTTCGGATATCGCATTGAGTTTCTCCTCAGTAATTTTTGCAAGGGCAACTTTCTCAGAAACTTCCGTGGTGACCCTCTTCGTTTTTTCTAGGTTTTGAATAAGCTCAATGTTCTCCAAAACGTCTCCCTGAAACAGAGAAACGGGGTTTCACACCTTTTCTTCACAGCTTTTCATATTTACTCTGCGCCAGTTTACCCCCAACAGTTCACACGAAGTACCTCTCGCTGATACAAAGCAGGCGTAGTTGCTGACGAAATGAGTAGAACACGATGAAAGAGTACTAAACTCGAAGGAAATCTACTACCCCTACCCCTCACACGCCCCGGTTTTGATGCCGATGACGTAGTCAAAGAAGATATCATTACGATTCCTTACTTCCGCAGATGATATGTCCCTCAGCAGGGTGTTTTCGAGCTCGGCAAGGAGAATAGTAAACTCATTTTGCTGCTGCACAAGGTGAATCCTTCTTTGGAAGAGCTTCGGCTGTTCTTTCTGCATTGTCAAGTCAAGTAGCTGGTCCTCCAGACCCTTCGTAAGCACAAGCAAATGGAACTCATTCATATTTGTTGGTCTTGGGAGCAGAGNAGAGTTTGCGGTTATGCGTTTGCATTTAAGGATCACCAGCCCTATGAAGGCTGGTGCTGCGCAGCCTTCTGTAATCAAACAAGGAATGGCAAGACAGCTTACCTTCTCAGTAACTGTAAAATTTATAAGCGTGCATTCAGCCTGAAGTTCTGGGGGATAGTGTGGGTTAGATAGCCTCGTCTGCAGAATGAGCCTGAAGTTGGCATTGTAAGAAACCTCTTTATCCCCCAGTTTGAGGTATTGCGACCTCCCTCTACGGATGGTTTGGCGTCCTACAACAGGAGCCAGAACGGGGTCGACGGAGGTTTCCAAATTTTCAATCAGCACGCTTGTGCCTTGCTGAATTGCCATCTCTATCAAAGCTACCATTCGAGGAGTACTAAGGCGTAGCACCTGCAGTTGCACTTCATACGCTGGCACAGTCATTGTGGGAACTACCTTTACTGTGCTGTTAATCTTCTTGCATATGTAGGACTCCTCAGGAACACTCTCGCTCGCTCAAAAGAAAAATGATATCCTCGCTGCTGCTGCCCTGCCGTGAAAAGTAATGCACGCCTGTTGGCCGTTTAAGGCTAGCATACGCCGTCACCACCATTAAAGGGAGATGCTGTCATGGCAACGATGAAACGGTGGACAAACCACTTGCCTGAAGGCGGTTTTCCCTTTCTCTTTCTACAATCCATTTTCTCCCTTGCAACTGCGGATCGATCATGAGGGGCCAACGCTCCGTCGAAGATGCTATTGCACCATTTTCTATGGACGTTGCATCAGATGGCAGCCCCTGGTTATTCCACCTGAGAGGCAACGGCACCCACTGACCTCTAACAGTTGAACTGCTTGTTGACGTACCAGTATTTGTAGCTTCTGGGAGGAAATTTGCGAACATTTCCGCCGCTTTGGAATTTCGAAAGGAAGGTTCAGTATTCCAATGTGTATGCCAATAGAATAGCCAGATTACATTTGTGGAACACTCACAGAGCCATCTCGGCTTCATCTGTAAGCTGGGCAAGGACATCTGCGGGCTGCCGTAGGGGCACGCCACGATCAACTAAAAATGGTACCGCCTTCTCGTACATTAGCCAATCCCGATACTTTTTGCTAAACACTCCAGCATATGCTACGAAGGATGACGATAGTAATACGTCGCCGACAGAGACGCGTCGCTGAGTGCAGGCACCGACAGTCAAACATACGATCCCCAAGCTTCCGTAGCCCCTAAATCAAGGCACTGCCGTATGGGGCTTCTCCTTCTCGAAGCCTGCGTGAGGGGCATAACTGGCCAAGGGAAAGCTTAACCGATGTGACAACTGAGCTTGACAGCAATCGCATGGCCTGTCCGCTTACCTGTTCTTTTAAATCATCAATAGTTTGCCCCCAGCGGGCTCCCTCTGATCCCAACGAGCGCATGAGCCTCTGTGCGAGATCTAATTTGGTCTGGCACTTCTGAGCCTCGGCTTCCACCGCATTTTTCTCGGCTATGGCGGAATCGAATTCGGCAACAAGTTGACCCAGCTGAAGTAAGACAAGAGGACTGCTCGGATCATTCAGTTTCGAAGAGTATGTACGCCGTGTTTTTTCACGAACTCCTTAAAACTAAAGTGTCTATTTCATTTTGGTGTAAGAACGTGAAGACACCTGACTTCTCAGCGGGGTCACCTGTCATTACCTTTTCCTCAAGCTCCGCAACTAGCCTTTGCACCTCGACGAGCTTCTTGTTTGCATCCTCGAGTTGTTGAGTGGCTTCTGCCAATGCTCGTCTTTTGGGCTCAACGGATACAACCACCGTGTAGTATTGGTAAATGTTGACTACCCAGTCTGCAAGACCTGCTGCAGCTGTACTCTTCTTCTGAATAGCTTCGCGATTGAAATGAGGAAGAGCAAGCAACGGTTCCACCGCTTTGAAGTTCTGCTCGGGCACACGCCCATCATCAATGACACTCTTGAAGTCCTTGAGCGTCTGCAAGAACTTTTCTGGATTGTTCATCATCTTCTGTGCGCCCTTCCAGCTCTTGTCTTTCAGCTTTCCCTGTTTGTCTACCTGCATGCAAACTATCAGCACCCTACACTTCTTTGGGCGCCTTGAAGCAAGCTTCGTGGAACAGCGGTTCAGCAAAAGAAACCGTTCTAAACTTGCAAGAGGAATCATGGCGGTCGACGCAAATGTCGCTGAATCGCAGCTACAACAAGAATAACGCTTGAGAATCCTCTTCTTATCGCCGGAGAAGCACATGATTACTGGTATGTTACTGGCCTCACCTCAATTATTGGGTCAACTGTTGCAAGCAAGTGCATAACGGCAGCGGTGATGTCTTCAACTCCCGGCGGAGGCTTATTGAGAGCTTTTGCTTCCTGGAAATCCTTCTTGTTGAGTGTGTTCAGCGCAGCTTCTGCCTGCTCCACTAGGGGGATGGCTTTCTCCAAATCGGCCTCACAAGATGCCTAAAGAGCCATAATGAACATATTTCTGTGCGTCTTGTTAAGCCAGGCTGCACTAAATTTGAGCTCTATATCCTTCCATATTCCCATTCAGTGCATGCATGCGGCTTTGAGCAGTGCAAGCAGGCGAGGTGCAGTAGATCAGTGATAAATAGGTAGAGTCTCCATTACTCATTATGTTAGCGAATCCGCGCCATTATATATTTCATCAGCTAAAGGACTGACTACACTCAAAGCTGCTTGCTCTCCGCTGTGTGTCCATGGCTGGCTCACTCGTTGTTCAGAAACGGATTTCTGTATTTCTGCGCACTTAAGAGCCTCAACATTGGCGTTTTCAGACTCGGCAGTGACCTTGGCCTTCTCTTCACCAACCTTCTGCGCGAACTCCTCAGCAGCTGCCTTTTTCTCTTCGACCGCAACTGTTTTCTCCCTTAAGTCGTCCTCTAATGCCGACACCTTTTCCTGAGTATCTAGAAGCTTCGACAAGCCGCTGCTCAGGCGCTCGCTGTGCTCGTCTATAGAAGATATGCGTTTCAGTAGCATGGTCTGGTAGAGCTTCATGGCCTCTATGAACGTTTTTGGAGTCACATAGGCAAATCTGCAACCAAATGTAGACAGATGCAAATCTTTGTCGTGTTGTCAGGTGCAAGCAACATAGCTGTTCCTCGTCTAACCGCGACGCTGCTGTAGGGCAAGTCGATTGGCGTTCCCCTTGATTACCTGCGGTCAACTTCTAGGTATGTTTGTGCCGCATCGCTGACGGCATAAAACATGTAAGGCAGAAACTCCACAACTGAAGAGCGGGTGGAGTCTGCGTCGCCGATTGGCAGATCCGCGCAAAATTTGCTTGCCACCGAGTGTAACGCTTCATAGGGCCACGGCTGGAACCAATCTATAACAGTGCAGTTGACAAGGGCTGGAAACTTGCGAGCCCGAGTCCTGAGTCAAGCAAAAACCTGCCTTAATGCATGCGCCATTTAAGACCAACATAGGTGTGCACTGGTGACCACTGCTGCAGTGCCATACGGGTTTCGGTGTGCACAACTTTGAGAGCTTTCGAAAAGCCGAACCAATAACTTTCCTATCCTCACCTCAGCCCGTCGCCGACTGGGGACAAGCACAAAACAGCATGCAAGTTTCGCCTGATTTTGTCAATAAAGAAACCCCAGCAGCCCTCTCGCGTATCCGAAACCCCAGCAGCTTTCGCTAGGGGCCGAATGGAGTTCATCAATTGGTCTTTGTCGTCTCCCTCGTATAAATCAGCAATATCCCCGGACGCAAGTAAGTCGTTTACATAGACCAAAAACCTTTCATTTGCAATTTGCGCGTCACTCAGCAAAAACACTACTCCCTCATCTTTTAGGGCTGCCCTGGAGTACATTGCCTGAGGAATGTACAACGCTCCAAAATCACAAGGGTTGCGATGCGTTGATAACCCCAACACGCGCACACATAAACAGATTAAAAACGTAGCAAGAAAGCACTATGTCGTCTGTTAGTATGCTCGTCAGTGGGAGGTTATTGGGTCGTGTGCACAGTCACTACCTACTCTAATATCATTTTTGAGGTCCCGGATATCATACGTGGACGAAATGCTCAGCTGGTGAGTCGCAAAGCCACTAATGAATGACGATAGCCTCGTCAACGACTGTTTCCCCGATCCTCCGACGCCCACAACAAGCGCATGGCCTGCTCGGTTGTTGATGACCCTACAAATTCTGCAGACGTGATGCATAGCGTCGTCGAACAACACCAGGTCCATTGCGGGATTCAGCTCATTGTAATCATTCAAAGCTCCTCGGAGGATTGTTGCAAGTTCATCCATCGAACCAATCCTATCGTAGGCTGGGGCACAAAACAAGAAACAGAACAGAACAAAAACTTNAGTCTCTATTAACTGCCATGTTCGCTTGACCTCCCATTCCTTCTTTCCCAAAATGAGCAAAAATGACAGCCTCCGGATTCTTTGGTTGTATGGCCTTCCCTATGTTGAACTTCCCAAAGTTCCGTTTCGCACACTCTGCCGCAATCGTTCTGTATTTTTTTCCGTCTTCTGGCGTAACAAGACGGTCACAAAAGGTTCTCTCACACTCGTGGAGCCAAAGAAGTACCAGCTTTTCTGGATCCTGCGAGGGCCAGCCAGTCCAGATATTGGCCGAAAACACTTTGCCTTGACAGCTAAGTGTAGGTTATAGAGACGTTTTTGTTTTAAGCCGACGTAAATACATCACCTGCATGTTTTGAGGAGGCGTGGACAAAATCCCTTGAAAGACATTTGTCAGGTGCCGCATATTGAACTCGTAGTGGAAGTTGACGGCAGTTTTCCGGAATGCTTGTACTACCTGAGTGCCAAACAGCCTTACGCTTCGGCGTATCTACTGAGTCTCTAGTCGTACTTGTTGGAAAATTCGGCATGGTGCGTATGAATTGGAAGGACGTAGCCTGCCATTCACCAAGTGCAGATCCCAAAAATAAAAATCTCACCTCTGTATATATGCCCATGGTTGCTTTGATCACTGGCATGACTTGTTCTTTAACAGCCTTCCGATAGTTTCCCACATCGAAAAATCCATTCATTATAGAAGCGTAGATTGTGAAGAGGGACGTCAATTCAGGCATGGGGACATTTAATACCCAGAAATGGCGACTGAGGCGGGGGTTCACGACAAACGACCCAGCTGTAGGATTCATAGCGGCTAGAATTTGCGTGTTGCTGATATCTTTCATTTGCATCTTGCTCCTATCGAGCCAATGCTGGTAGTCCATATGCTGTCGCAGCAGTGCAATCGCGCTTTGGGTGTTGTAGGGGTCAAGCTGAGGCATGTTCAAGTCATCTAGAAAATAGACCAAGTGTACCCTGCGGGGAATAAAAGCACTCTTCAGATGCTGGGATAATCAATCGTCTTGCACAATGAACAGTTCATACAGTATCAGAACTACGAATGCAGCTACAAGGATGCTGAGAAACTTACTTTCCTGGTGGGCCATATTGCCTGCCGGCCTTTTTTTCAAGGGGCTGTTCGAGGAGTGTCTGCAAGAGCGTGGAATCCGTGTAAAAGTTAAAGTTGACCGAAAAAGACGAAAAGGCCTCGGAATCCAGAGACGACAGAGCTGTTCTACACAACTGGGTTTTTCCGCACCCCGCAGAACCAATGCACATAACTGGAGCGTGCATCTTCAGTATAGTCTTGCAAAAGTGGAGCATGGAAACTGTTTCGGCCGTTGGGACTGATATGCTGTCAATGGCTTCCGTTCCTGTGAACTGCAACGTGGGGACCTGTGATTCCCAGCTTTCAAATTTTGCCTGAACAAAACACCATTGCCTTGCCTGCTCAGATTCCCTGAGGCCGATTGGGATGCAACCAATTGTTCCAACAACCGGCTGAAACGGTTTGCACTGTGGTAGGCTCAACGCATTGGCTTCCCAACGTTGCCAATGATTATGCAGCTTGCTTTTGCTCTGTGATTGGCGACCTACAGTGTCAACAAAATATTCGAAGATTGATCCTTTGCTGGGAAATTTGATAACTTTCCACTCTGACCGCCACCAGTTATTGAACTGTCTTCTATAGTCGATTCCATCCTTCTCCTGCAGACTGCCTCCTGCAGCCCAGACAAGGCAAAAGACGAAAGCGAACTCAGGCGCCTGTGGCTCTTCTGGGTAGAGCCCTTCAAGCTGAAAGCAAGGCAAAACACATCTGCGCGCAAGAAAGGATGTTTTTCTGTACGAGAGCCATTATTATTGGGCTGTTTTCCGCATTTAACAGTGCTTATCCTTCCGTGATTGTTTGCCACCGCTACCGAACGCCCACCATATTGCAGAGAGCAGCTATGATTTGTAGGCTGTACACTTGCACGCTCAGCTTGCATTGCCTCTCGACGAATTCAAGTGTAGCAGGACAATATCTTTCAAATAGTTTAGCTACGTCTGCCTTGGTTGCCTCCGACCAGCTCTGACGCTGCAACCAGCTTTGCACGTAGCTCCTCCATTGTTCCCCTACACTCAAAAGCGAATTTTTGTTCTGAATGTTCACTTAAAGAGCACATTTAAAGCCTAGCCAGTTGCTAAGCATGCTTCAACCCCCACCTATTCTTCCCCGTGGGTGCAGCTGTCAGTGTTGAAGAGCAGACCAGACGCACCTGATGTGTCACTGACAAAGATTATACCTGCTCTGGAAACAGTGGCTGGTGAGGCGAAATTGAGGTCTCGTATTTCAAAGATCATCCGCATGTGAGGCTTCAGAGGAATACGTTCGTTTGAAGCGAGGGTGAGGATTCGATTGTCGTCCATCACAGAGTTCATGGACTCGATCCAGTTGGCATCCAAATCTCCATCCAACACAATCCATTTAGGCAGCGTATCAGGGATTTGTCCTAGTGAGCGCATTGTCTTTGACAATATGCCGTCCTGCCACTCCCGAGTTGACATTTTCACATACCTGCAAGAACGGCAGCAATGCTTTCACGCCAGTGCCACGTATTTCCTGTAGACCAATTTTTGCTCATGCCCAGCAACAGCTTGAGTACCAAACTGGCAATGCCACGACTGAAATTTGTAGCGCTAGCCAACGGCAACCTGAAGTGTGGCCAAACTTTACTCCTTCAAATGCAAGAAACGCACGTTTGGTATAGGAGCACAAGCCTACATATGACGTGCACCCTAAAGTTTTTNTTTTTCTTTTGAAACGTTGGATTATATCAAGGGTGGGAAATATTGGCAATCCACCCTACCCGTAGAGTTCATCCGTGTTCACAGACTTGGGGTTGATGTCGACAATTGTAGTTTTGCTTCCAAGAGCATCTTGAGTCTTTGCAAGCACCTTCCAGACTGTGCTCTTCCCAGACGCTGGTCGCCCCATGACGAAAACACACATGCGAATGGCCAGCAGGTCCCTCATTTGTAGGGCTTTCAGCGCCAGACCGTCGTTGACGGTCAGCCCCATATCATTGCAGACCTTTAGAACCGCCTCAGAGAAAGCTGCATCAGTCTGCGGAGGCGGTTCAACCCCAGGGAATAAGTCACTCAAAAGTCCTGAACGCACAACCAATGTAGGGACCTTTCTGGCATTCCCGTATGTTTCAACGGACGTGCAGCGTGCCCGTCGACAATCCCTGCTGGTATACCCAGGATAATTTCCAGCTGATGGACAGGTTCCATGCTGTACCCTGGAAAATTTTGGCGTCGTCCGCTACAATTTTGGCCAGGTTAGAATCCCTCAGTGCTTTCATGAGGATTGCTTGCTCAGATAGTTCTGGCCATTCTCTTTTGAAAGTCCCAGCTACCACCAGTACAGATTTGATCGCTCGCAGCCCCCAGTCATAGTGCGCAGCCCGTGATAGCAGGTCTTTGCACAAGGCATACAGCCGAGTAAATTTCCGGGCTAATTCCTTTGCCTCTACGAAGCCTTCAGCCATAAGCATGTTCTCGCAAATCAACTCCAAATCGGGGACGACCACTGTTATTGGCCTGAACAAGGCTTTCAGCCCTTCAGGAAGTTCAGAACGCCCCAAGTACCCGGGATTCATCTGACGCATTAGTATTGCACAGAACAAGCATTCCAAACTTTGTCTGCATGGCATACATAACTGAATGTAGCTGTTGGGCCAATGGGATTTCATGGGGTGGTTATGGGCTCTTCAGCGAAGGCTACAAAACCTACAGTAATAAAAACTCCGCACGTGCGGTCCAGAGACGTTTCATCTCCCTGGATAAAAAATTTCTCTGCATTTGCCTTAATAGCATCAACTACCGACTTAAACTGAACTGAGCACACACTAAGAACTGCAGGAACCAGACGGTTGAACTCGTCAAAACAGCCCCAGGAACCAGAAGCAGCGAGCCCCTAAAGACCGCATACACAACAAAACATGTTGGTGAAGTGGTGAAACGTGGATCACCCACAGCGCAAGCAAATTTATGTTTCTGGCACAAAAGGCAAGGCCCAACCGTGGTGGTTCAGTCCTCGGTGAGAGCCATTCTTCCTTGTCATCTGAGTTAACTGACCTTGAAAATATTTGCCATGGATTGGTAGTCCATTTGGTCGGAGCAGTTGAAAACGTAGCATGCCTTGCCAAGAGCTGAAGCAAGGTCCTTGGTTGTCTCCGTTTTACCAGTTCCTGCTGGACCAGCTGGTGCGCATCCCATACAGAGATGCAGAGCCTGGGTTGCAGTCACGTAAATTCTATCAGTCAACGGAGTGACTACAAGGCGCGGCCCATTGCCGAGGTACTCATAACCGTAGGCAAATGATGCATCTGTAATTCGAATGGAAGCCTCTTCCTGTACGACCACGCAACAAAATGATTGAAAGAGAGAGCTTACATTTATTTGCTTGTCACCAATGTGAGTATTGGAAGTTCTGTATGCGGTTAACAGTAAGAGGACTACTGGCATCATCGCACGCGATGGCAAAAGGGAATGATCTGCACTGACTGTTTCTGTATCCCAGAAGTACTTCAGCTGTGACTGCCACTGGAAGCAGTCAACAGAATTAGCGCGTTCGTCCAGAAGGCGCTGGATGATGTCTCGTCCGTGCGTATCAATTGTGATTATGCACATGATCTTTTGTCTGAGTGCTGGAGTTAGAGAGCCTTGAACAAGTTTAATTGCTGATTTGAGCTCTTCTACATGCTTCTCCATGCACTGCTCCATTGCCGTAGGTGTCTAAACGAAAATTTGCAGTACAGTCAATCAGGCATCCGCGCACGACGAACACATTCACACGTTTTGTTCGTTCCTTTCGCTTGAG